TACATACTCTGTGGTTGTGTTGGTTAGTACATACTCTGGTTAGTGCAAACTTTGTGGTTGTGTTGGTTAGTACATACTCTGTGGTTGTGTTGGTTGGTACATACTCTGTGGTTGTGTTAGTTAGTACATACTCTGTGGTTGTGTTGGTTAGTACATACTCTGTGGTTGTGTTGTTTAGTACATACTGGCGACCGGTTTCATGGTGTCTTTATTTTATTTGAAATGTCATTGTCGATCTTTGAGTATCTACCTGTGCATACCATTATATTAAGCAAGCGTCCTTGTGCTGTCATGATGAATAGTTTTTTTCTGGGCCATACGCAGTGCTACAATACAATAGTCCTTCTCGTCTCACAATTGTGTCCAGACTATTGCCATCAATACACGTGCGTGTGTTTTACCATGATACATGCTGCTATTCACAATTCAGCCTCTCTCGCTTTCCCTCCTTCTCTTTCTTACCTTAAATGTCGCTTCGTCTGCACACAGGACGTGACCAGCATATCATTAGTAACAATCGCTGGTCTGATGGAAGAAATCAGTTACGGCTGCCTACAAACCCGAGAAGTTTGGCGAGAAGTGCTTCAAACACTTCCCCATGGTGCTATCAACGGCTATTCATTGGCCAAGGCGGTGTCCATGATGTCTTGTACCCAATCAAATTTAGAAGATAGTTTATTATTGCAGACTTCACTGGAGCAGACGGGGCCCCAGTTGTTCCTGCAGAACTCCAACTCAGCGAATGCCACACCTGACCCCACCACATGGGACATCCAGATATTCGTCGATGGTATCCGTGAGGTATATGCTGAACTTTGTTGTTCGTGTATAGATGTCATGACGTAAGGCATAGGTACAAAAAATGGGTTTGCAAAGAATATAGTAGAACTCTATACCGTTTCAACTGCCTGAGAGCTATATAGTCGCGTGCTTGTTTCTGGTGTCCGATTGAAATGAGATGTCTCAGTCGTTGCTATGCAAGTCTATTTCTAACTGTTATTTTCACTTGTCAAAAACGAACACTACAAATTATCACCCTTATTCTCGAGATTACTATCTACGTCGGATCAAATACACGTACTCTAGTAGGGAACACGAATCGCTATCCACTGATCGACACGCAGCAAACTTCACTAGGTTATCGTATATATATA